TAAGTAGAGTAGCTGGGATTACAGGAGTGCACCACCACACCCAGCTAATTTTTGTATTTTTAGTAGAGACGGGGTTTCACCATGTTGGCCAGGCTGGTCTCGAACGACTGACCTCAAGTGATCTGCCCACCTCAGCCTCCCAAAGTGCTGGGATTACAGGCATGAGCCACTGGACCTGGTCACCTGAGAGTTCTTTAGAAGTCTACCCATACGAGGCCGGGCGTGATGGATCATGCCTGTAATCCCAGCACTTTGGGAGGCCGAGGCAGGTGGATCACTTGACTTCAGGAGTTTGAGACCAGCCTAGCCAACATGGTGAAACCCCGTCGCTACTAAAAATACAAAAAAAAAATCAGCTGGGTGTGGTGGCAAACGCCTGTAGTTCCAGCTACTCGGGAGGCTGAGCCACGAAAATTGCTTGAACCCAGGAGGCGGAGGTTGCAGTGAGCAGAGGTCGCGCCACTGCACTCCAACCTGGGTATCAGAGTGAGACTCTGTCTGTGAAAAAAAAAACAAACAAACCAGAAGTCTACCCATATAAGTCACAATGTGTGGCTACTAGGAAGGAAATATTTAATAGGTACCAGGACTCAGAAGCTTCAGATCTAATAATCCATATGGCCTGTGACCCAGCTGCCTGGGAATAGGCTGTGATGGTTAATTATATGTGTCAATCTGACTGAGCCACAGGGTGCCTACACAGGTGGTTCAACATGATTTCTGGGTATGCATGCCTTCAAGGGTGTTTCTGGGAGACGTTAGCCTTTGAATGGGTGGACTGAGCAAAACAGACCTGCCCTCAGCAGTGCGGTTGAGCACCTTGCAATCTGTTGAAGGCCTGAATGTTAGTGTGAACCCTGGAAATTTGAGTCAGGTCTCAGTTAATTTAGAAAGTTTATTTTGCCAAGGTTGAGGAACAACTTTCTAACTCAGTTAATTTAGAAAGTTTATTTTGCCAAGGCCTGTGACACAGCCTCAGGAAGTCCTGGACACGTGTCCAAGGTGGTCAGTGCACAGCTTGGTTTTATACATTTTAGGGAGACATGAGACATCAATGAATGTATGTAAGAAGTACAGTATGTTTGGCTGGGCGCGGTGGCTCATGCCTGTAAACCCAGCATTTTGGGAGGCCGAGGCGGGCGGATCACAAGGTCAGGAATTCGAGACCAGCCTGGTCAATACGGTGAAACCCCATCTCTACTAAATGTACAAAAATTGGCGTGGTGGCGTGTGCCTGTAGTCCCAGCTACTCAGGAGGCTGAGGCAGAAGAATTGCTTGAACTTGGCAGGCGGAGGTTGCAGTGAGCCGAGATTGCACCACTGCACTCTAGCCTGGGTGACACAGTGAGACTCCATCTCAAAAAAAAAAAAAAAAAAGGCCGAGACGGGCGGATCACTAGGTCAGGAGATCGAGACCATCCTGGCTAACCCGGTGAAACCCCATCTCTACCAAAAAATACAAAAAACTAGCCAGGCGAAGTGGTGGGCGCCTATAGTCCCAGCTACTTGGGAGGCTGAGGCAGGAGAATGGCGTTAACCCGGGAGGCGGAGCTTGCAGTGAGCTGAGATCCGGCCACTGTACTCCAGCCTGGGCGACAGAGCCAGACTCTGTCTCAAAAAAAAAAAAAAAAAAAAAAAAGAAGTACACTGGTTCCACCCAGAAAGCTTGAAGCAAGGAGTGGGTTTCTAGGTCATAGGTAGGTGAAAGAAAAATGGCTGCATTCTTTGAGCTTCTGATAAGCCTTTCCAAAGGAGGCAATCAGAATATGCTTCTCAGTGAGCAAAAGGATGACTTTGAATAGAATGGGAGGCAGATTTGTCCTGAGCAGTTACCAGGAGGATCCCCAGTTCCTCCAGCCTGGGCAACATAGAGAGACCCCATCTCTAATAAATAAATAAGAATGAATTAACTCTGCCTGACTGCCTGAGCTGAGATATCCATCTTTTGCCTTCAGTGCTCCTGGTTCTCAGGCCTTCAGACCCGGTCTGGAATCTAGACCACTGGATTTCCTGGTCTCCAGCTTGCAGACAGCAGACAGTGGGAATTCTCAGCCTGTATAACCATGTGAGCCAATGTCTTTTTATTTTTATTTTTTTTGAGATGGAGTTTCACTGTTGTTGCCCAGGCTGGAGGGCAATGGCGCAATCTCAGCTCACTGCAACCTCCACCTCCCAGGTTCAAGCGATTCTTCTGCCTCAGGCTCCTGAGTAGCTGGGATTACAGCGTGCACCACCACGCCCGGCTAATTTTTGTATTTTTAGTAGAGACAGGGTTTCATCATGTTGGTCAGGCTGGTCTTGAACTCCTGACCTCAGGTGATCCATCTGCCTTGGCTTCCCAAAGTGCTAGGATTACAGGCATGAACCACCACGCCTAGCTCTTAAAATATCTTACTGTAGGCTGGGCATGGTGGCTCACACCTATAATCCCAGCACTTTGGGAGCTGAGGCGGGCAGATCACCTGAGGTCAGGAGTTTGAGATCAGCCAGGCTAACGTGGCAAAACCCTGTCTCTACTAAAAAATACAAAAATTAGCTGGGCGTGGTGGTGCAGACCTGTAGTCCCAGCTACTTGGGAGGCTGAGGCACGAGAATCACTGGAACCTGGGAGAGGGGTGGAGTTGTAGTGAGCTGAGATCACACTACTGCCCTCCAGCCTGGGCAACAGAGAGAGACTCTGTCTCAAAACCAAAACAGAAAGCTATCTATCTGTCTAATCTATCTATATCATCTATCTTACTGTATTGTACTCACCCTTCTTTCATGATGATATGAGATGGTATGATGCCTATGTGATGATAAGTGAGGTGATGACGTAGGCATTGTGATATAGCATTAGGCTCCTGTTGACCTTCTGTATTCCTGAAATCTGTGTAACCATCCCTTTCTTGTAGTAAATAGCTTGGTGTCCCCATTTAAAGGTATCTTTTTTTAAGTCTCTGGATAGGCTCAATGCTTTCTGGTGCAACATATTGCTGTCAATCAGAACACATTTTCTGTTCATGTCTTCCACCAAATTTAATGCTTTTTCCATCTTTTGTTTTGAGACAGGGTCTTTAGCACCCAGGCTGGAGTGCAGTGGCACAATCATGGCTCACTGCAGCCTCCACCTCCTGGGCTAAAGCGATCCTCCCACTTTAGCCTCCTGAATAGCTGGGACTATAGGCACAAGCCATCATGCCCAACTAATTTTTAATTTTTTTGTAGAGATAGGGTCTTACTCTGTTGCCCAGGCTAGTCTTGAACTCCTGGGCTTAAGTGATCCTCCCTCCTCGGCCTCCCAAACTGCTGGGGGTAGACGTGTGAGCCACCGCACTCAGCCACCTCTTCCATCTTATCACACACCATGGCTATAACTTGCAGTTTAAAGTACAGCAGCAGGCCAGGCATGGTGGTTCACACCTGAAATCTCAGCACTTCGGGAGGCTGAGGTAGGCAGATCACTTGAGGTCAGGAGTTTGAGACCAGCGTGGCCAACATGGCAAAACCCCATCTCTACAAAAAATGCAAAAATTAGCCCGGTGGGCAGCGCATGCCTGCAGTCCCAGCTACTCGGGAGGCTGAGGCACGATAATTGCTTGAACTCAGGAGGCAGAGGTTGCAGTGAGCTGAGATTAGGCCACTGCACTCCAGCCTGGGTGACAGATAATGTGTCCAAAAAAAAAAAAAAAAGCAACGGCAAAACTGGAGCAAAGTTTTTCTTCATAATTTTATGGATGCAAAGTTCATTTTTATGTTGATCTCAGCAACCTCAGATGTGACTTTTCTTTGTTTTTTTTGAGATGGAGTTTTGCTCTTATTGCCCAGGCTGGAGTGCAATGGTATGATCTTGGCTCACTGCAACCTGTGCCTCCCGGGTTCAAGCAATTCTCCTACCTCAGTCTCCCCAGTAGCTGGGATTACAGGCATGTGCCACTACACCTGGCTAATTTTGTATTTTTAATAGAGACGAGGTTTCTCCATGTTGGTCAGGCTGGTCTCGAACTCCCGACCTCAGGTGATCCACCTGCCTCGGCCTCCCAAAGTGCTGGGATTGCAGGTGTGAGCCACTGTGCCCGGCCAGATGTGACTTTTGTTTCCTTAAAAGGTTGAGAACTTTAACTTTTCACTTAAAGGAAGCACTTTATGGCTTCTCTTAGGCATACCCGACTTGCCACATCACTACTCTTGCACTTTGGGGCCATTATTAAATAAGGGTTTCTTGAACACAAGCATTGCAATACCCCGACAGTTGGTCTGATAACTGAGATGGCTACTAAGTGGTTAACTGGTGGGCAGCATATATAGCATGGATTTGCTGGGCAAAGGATGATTCGCAGCCCGGGTGAGATGGCAAATGATCTCATCATGCTTCTCAGAACAGCATCAAACTTAAAATGGTTTACTTTGGGAATTTTGTATTTAATATTTTCAGACCTGGGTTGACTGTGGGTAACTGAAACCTAGATGGTATAGCCTACTACACACCTAGGCTACATGCATGGTACAGCCTATGGCTCCTAGGCTGCAAACCTGTACAGCATGTGACTGGACTGAATACTGTAGGCAACTATAACACAAGGATAAGTATATGTGTATTTAAAAATAGAGAAGATTGGATAAAAATAGGGTTATAACTCCATGGGGCCACTGTCATAGATGTGGTCCGTTGTTGACTGAAATACCACATGGTATGTACCTCTATCTTCTATCAGGTCTGTTTCTCTGGAGAACCCTGACAATACAGGCTGGAAACAGGTAGATAACAGTTTTCTTTCTTTTTTCTGTGTCAGACAGGTAATATGCCGACATTGTAACAATGTTTCAGGATGGCACATCTCACACCTGTGTGTGAACACCTAATCGTCATGCTTATGAACTACAAAACGAACTGATAACAGTTTTGTCAGTTCTGTTTTTTTGCCTCATCCCATTTCACCAGTATGGCACTCTGCAAAGTGCAGCAACTCATTCAAAAGTTCCTATTTCTACAAATTAAATAAAAACACAATTAAATTTTAGTAGGTGCTAAAACTTGGTTTTGAAATTTTATTAAAAAAATATATTTGCAAACATATAAAATTTAGGATGAAAAACGCTCATTTTAAAACATGTAATAACTTAATATTTGCAAACATACAGAGATGGTATAAAATCCATACCATTAAAAATGTTAATGATACAGTATTGCGCTCATGGAACAAAAACCTTGCTGTAATTCCAGAGCTTCTCGTCCCCACATTTCAGGGAGCTGAGAATCTGGTACAATGAAAGTCATGAGAGCCACATGGCCAAAGCAGTAATACAGAATAAAAAACCATTTAGAACACATATTTTAAAAACATGTTTCTTAAGGAATCACACGGATAAAAAGGAAACACAATTCTGCATTTTCCCCACTTTGAATGATATTGCATCTTAGCATTTTAAATGAAGGTGTCAAATACAAAACGGAGGGAATCACTGCACACATCTGCTAAATTTGCTGAAAAACCAGCTCCTCGAGGCCCTGGTCCACTTGGAAATGTTCTCAAGCACAGCTGTAAAAAAGCCTAGTGTAAGCTGCTTGCCTGTGCTCAGATCTTAGCATTTGAGAGACTTGAAAACAGAGAGCACTATTGGTTCCAGAAGGTACACTGAACGCAACTGAAGAAAACCGAAGGGAGGCAAGAAAGAAACACGTGCTCTGCAGCAAATGTGCAGCCAGGATGCAGGATGTGCACCCCGTGATTCCTCAGTTCTCCTCACTCACACGGGCTGAGCCCACTCGTGCCTGTGCCACCTCTCATTCATCTCAGAGTTACAGTATGATGGTTGATTTTGTTTTTTGAGCAGTTAGGCACCTTCAATTTCATGTTGCATTATTAGTAATACAATGGCAGTTAGGGGCCTCTACTACAGAAATGAGAAAATTTCAAACTACATTCTTTGGGGGAGGAGAGTAATAAAGCTGCATGGTTTAAAAATTTACCTAGTAGTGGATGATAGGGTTTATATAATTTCTACAAGAAAACATAAGCCAGGAAAAGAACAAATGCTTGACATGCAAAATCTGGTTAGACATATACTAAACTAAGCTTGTGTGTCCCCCTGTAGATAGGGGCCCAGCTTGACTTTTTTTTTTTCTTTTTCTTTGTTTTTGAAATGGAGTCTCGCTCTGTCGCCCAGGCTGGAGTGCAGTCGCTCGGACTCAGCTCACTGCAACCTCTGCCTCCCGGGTTCAAGTGATTCTCCTGCCTCAGCCTCCTGAGTAGCTGGGATTACAGGCGTGCGCCACCACGCCCGGCTAATTTTTGTATTTTTAGTAGAGACAAGGTTTCACCACGTTGGTCAGGCTGGGACTTGGGTTCTTAATAAAATTCCACTCTCTGTGATGGCTACATCTAAGCCTCTGAAGGTGAGCTGTGGACATATCACATGTGGACAGCATGAAATGCTTCTGACACTGAGAGTCACTTGCAAAACTTGAATTCAAAGTCAAGCAGGCCAAATCTCACACCTTTTGAATCCCAGGAGGGACACAGTGAAGAAGAGCTTCTGCCTTAAGGGAACAAGGCTGTCTGGGAGGTGTGAGAGTCCATTAAAAGACAACACATTAACTACAACAAAAAGAAGAGCAGTACCACCCACCGGTGGTGCCCCAGACACACCTCTCCCACAAGCTCCGGGCTGCTCATCTTGGAGCCCACACTCAGACCCTGGGGGTAGAGGTGGGCACAAAAATGGACAGAGTGGTCTAAATGCAGGTCTCCTGGGGTTCTGCGAAATTTAGCCAGAAGCATCTCCATCTCGGTGTCCATTTCGATTCAACTAAGCTTCCAGTAAAGACACTGCAGCAATGTAAACATGCAACCTAAGCTAGCATGAGGTTCTAGATAGTAAGCCTGAACTAGGAATAAGGCAACTGAACTGTGACTTTCGGGCCAGGGTCATCCAACTGCAATTATCCAGGCTTGGCCTGGCTTCTCTAGAGATTCATTCTGGCCTGAACTTCCTGGTAATCATGACATGAACTTCTGGCTTCTGAATTTTAAGTAAATGCTTTGAATATATAAATTTGGGAGGTGAAACAGGTTTACCCTTTTCAAATCTTCATGACTTGGGCACTTAAGTTTACTTTCACACTAAGGAAGCCTTATCATAGATTCTCTTTACTGTCTATCATATCCATTCCTAGCATTAAAGGTGAAAATTAATATGATCACAGACTCTCTTTAGGATATTCTCTCTTAACTCTCTCATAATATTACATACTCAAAAGCATAATTTCAATTCAAGAATCCCTTGATTCGTCTGTTCACCAAAGCCCACTGAGACCACACTTGGGGTGCAATCACACCTACTGGTGCGTCCACTTTATGGAAGTCACGTGGCTCCCTGGACACCATCTCTCGGTGTCAGCAACACTCTGTATCCTACTATAGCTTTCTCGTTCCCAGATGATGCATAAGCAATTCATTTTTGGTTGCTTAATTTACACACTATCTGTGAAAACAAACTATTCATAATTGAGCATGAAAACTTATAAGCTTCCCTGAATTCTGCACAATTCACACATAATTAGGTAGACAGCAATAGAAGACACTAAAATGAGAAGCAGAAACCCTGTCCAGGAAGCATGTTTAGATCAACAAAAGCCAATCATTCTTTATGCTAAAAACTAAGACCAAACTAAAACAAGTATGTAATTCACAAGTAATTTTCTAGAATTTCAGCTAGAAAAAAATAATCTATGGACTTATGATTGAGTTACCATTAAAGCTTAAATGATTGTTCCCAAGGAACCATCATATCTGTCAGCATTATTCACAGCTAATCCTTATGCTAGCTGGTTGAGCCAATTGGGTTTTTACCCCATCATTAAATAGTGCTCATAAAAAGTAAGCAGTGCATCTTAATTGGTTAAATACTACAAAATGACCTGTATCATAGAAACAAAGACACTTTCATTCAAAGAATATCTTAAAATTACTATTGCTGAAATAAATCAAAATCTACATTAAAATATTACTAAACACCATTACATGCTATAAAAGAATAAATAGAAATCATGGCAGATCAATAGCAGCATAACAAAGCTTCTTTACATATTTTCACACTTTGGGCTGGGAAAGTACTCACAGCCTAGGAATACATTGGTAGAGTTCGGAATCACATTTTCTTTTAACTCCATAATTCTACAACAAAATAAGGGCAGTGTGAATAACAGCTCCCTTTTCTGCATAGCTTTAAAACTATTCTCAGTACACTCAAGGAAAGGAACCAGGATGGCTTTGTCAGATTGGTCCACAGGTCCTTTTGTCAAAGTGTTAAGGAAAACAATCAACAATGACAGAAAAGGAAAATAAGGCTGTGCTTCACACACAAACTTAGCATTTTCAGAACCACTGGAGAGTTCAACCTAAAATGAAGATCTGATAGGATGTGGGCATTCCCAGTCCCAGCCTTCCTTCAAAGGTGTGACGTGCCTGTGTTCACACCACCAGAGCCTGACAGTGCCCTATTCAAACGGTAATGCTGCACTGGGGGCCTGCTGCGGGGCAGGACTGGGGCACTTAAAAACAAAACACTATTAAGAAATTTCACAACTTTTAAGGCCCAAATGGGGCATTCATATAAAATACATTTCACTTGAGGAAATCATTCCCAATTTGCCGGCTTAAATTCTGGTCCTAAAAGCTCGAAGCTACTTTACAGAGCTGCCTTCTACTCTGTTTAGAACTTGACTGTCAGCCCAAAGCCTGTTTCTATGGGGTAGGCTGGGGCAAGCGGTGGGGGCCAGGCTGAACTTCTGCTGTGAGGCTGGTGACTACTCCTCTGTAAGTCCTTGAAAGTGAAAGCGAGCTGAGAATCAGATTCCTTATTCCACAGCCTTGCTCCTAGCTGATGAAAACACCCACATAACTTAACACAATGATTTTTTTTTTTGTCAAAACAAAGGTCTGCTGGTGATGCTTCACAGTGAAACCTCCATTATCACTGAGAATGTCACTTGGAAAACATTCTTAAGAAATGAGTCTCTTTCTCATAGGCTCAATTTCAGGATTCTCAAACTCGATGTTCTGCTCAGAAGTTTCCATGATGAAGCCTATTTGTCTCTGAGGTTAGCACTCTGCCTTTAGACTTACTCTGCTCCAGTCATAGGTTGTGGTTGTCTTTGTTCTTGGTCAGCACCTGCAAGTAGACTTCATGAAGTGTACTGAGGAAGCTGGAATCATTCTAGAAGAGATGGGAAAGGTTAAGGATACGAATGCCACATTTACCTCAACAGATTTTACTTCCTTGGTAACAGTTTAGGAAAAAAAATTGTATAAATGATTTGTATAACTGATAATCCCACCATCCAGAGACAATCATGATTAATATATTGAGTTCGCGCAGATATTTCTCCACCAGGACGGTATGCTTGAAAAAAGAGAAACAGTACTCCCAGTCTGTTTTTTTTTTTTTGCCCGCCCCGGTCTCCCAAAGTGCTGGGATTACAGGTGTGAGCCACTTTGCCCGGCCTCCAGCTAGTCTTTTGAATTTACTTTATGAACTGATTCTGTAGGAGGAATGTATACAATTTCTTTTATTAAGTAATGAAAAATCAAAGATAAAATTGGTATCCTACATACCTTTATGAGATGTATTAATGTATCCTGGAGCTGAGACTTGCTGAGAATAATGGAAGGCTTTCTCTGACTTTCTGGCGTTCCAATAGTTAGAGGAGAAGGAGAGCTGGCTTTCCTCTCAAGATCGGAAGACCTTGTAACTGTCTGCTGGAAAACACTTGGGGCCAGCAGGACTGAAGACACTGCAGTAGTCGTTGCAGTAACCAGTGGGGCTCCTGCAACCTGGAGAGGAACAATGGTCATTTTGTATCAAAGTGCAGAAGCCAGTAGCCAGGCCCAGAATAGGGAGCATGTGGAAACAGGCACAAGCAGCAGAAGAGTGAAGCCCAGAGACAGACTGTTTCGGGTTCAGGTAAACATTCAGTAGGAGCATTTGAACATCTAGCATCTGGTTATAAACTTCCGTGAGCTAAAGGATGACGAGCCCATTTATATAAGAACGTTCTAGAATCGTTACGGGAAGCCAAGTCCAACTGCCACAGAAGGTAAGAGAAATAACAGTATAGAATGCACAGTAAGAAAAATCCTATGATAAATTCAAAATGTAAAGGCTTTTTGGGAGGGGAGTTGGGGAAATGACTGGAAGAGGACATGAGGGAACTTTCTGGAGTGACAGAATGTTACATATTGATTGGGTTGCCTAAGGGATAATACATACATGTGTCAAAAACTCATTTAAAAATCTGTGTTGTTTGGCTGGGCGCAGTGGCTCATGCCTGTAATCCCAGCACTTTGGGAGGCCGAGGTGGGGTTCGAGACCAGCCTGGCCAACATGGTAAAACCCCATCTGTACTAAAAATACAAAAATTAGCCGGGCGTGGTGGTGCACGCCTGTAATCCCAGCTACTCGGGAGGCTGAGGCATGAGAATCGCTTGAACCCAGGAGGTGGAGGTTGCAGTGAGCCAAGACTGCACCCATTGCACTCCAGCCTGGGTGACAGAACAAGACTCTGTCTCCAAAAAAAAA